TGTCTATTCGAAAGGTGCTTAGATTCACGCAGATACGCACACAAGTCTAACAGCTGGCGGAATTAAAGTACGCCCTCATACACCATATATCACATATTAGATTACGCGCAGTGAAAGGAAACCCATAGGCTAACATTATGCATAAGATTTGATAGGCTAATTGGTGGCATGGCAAACACAATAGGCTGGCCTACTGTTCACCATATGTCTATATAGTTTGTTAATCGCCAGTCGGTTCACAACTTAATCGTGGTGTACCTAATTGACGTACATATGAGGTAAGCTTGATAACACACGGCCATGTACCAAGACAATGGGCAGTTTGCGCCATAATATAATTTCGTGGTTGAAGTGGTATTGTTGTTATCAAAATTGTCTTATATCTATAATCATGCTACGGATTTTACTGCGTAGATATCACATATCACATTTCACATAATCCTGAAAACAAGTTTGGAAGACTCCCCCAAAATTAAATAAAGTGACCATGTTTGAATAATGCAATGACAATTATGTTTGGTTTTGGAGATTCACTGAGAATATATCGTCATATTTGAGTTTAAGTTGCAATCCCACTTTCTGTGATCAGCAGGGAACTATGTTTGCATCATAAGATATTTGTATGATTCTCATCATTTGAAAGTCACTCCTAATACAAAGTAAAGTAAAGTGACCATGAGTCATTACAGCAATGACAATTGTTTTTTAGGTGATAAGATACTAGGCTTATTAGTTGCAGTCAGCTCTAGTGCTGAAATTGATTTCAAATATTCCACTGTAGAAACTACTGTAAAAAGTGTTATATATTATACAAAGTGGAAAAGCAACTTTAAAATCTTATACCACAATTTCCCAAGCTGATATAGACGAGCACGAAGCTGGAGTAAATTATCAAATCCGAAACAAGACAGACAGACTGACAACTAATGTCTATAGGTTCATATTTTTGTATTTTGCCGACAAAAAATTGACTAAGACTATATACAACGTGCTCCAATTTCCGATGCTGGGTCTGACAAAAACTTATAACGATTTTGTTTTTAAATCTTGATAATCTTATATGCGTGGCTCGATTTTGGTCTATAAGCTATATATTCATCATATAAAACTTTACGCAATAAATGAGGTAACATTCTTCTTAATTCGACTCACTATGACGTTTATACCAATGCCACCCCCACAAAATGTATTCTTGTATTGCAATTCGGACACTAGTAAGGGACACCACTACTACATAAGACTTCATAGGAAATTCACGGCACTGTATTTTTATGTGAGTAGAATTATGCAGTGTCAGTTAGGTCAGGTTATATATTTGCACATGACGTATGTCACATTCAATAGATTCACGGGAAATCGGAAATCTGCTAATAAAGTGTACACGTCTGCTGCTACACCAATCGGTCGAGTTGGCACTGATGCTTGTTCATGTGCGTTCAAGGGCGATAAAAGACGCAGATTGTATTCCGAGATTGTTTTATGTCTAGAAACATATAAACATTTGATGATGACAGAAAAGAATTTCAAATAATGTACCCATAACATGATGTTCGACATTACTTTTTAAAATATTTTCTACAATCCACAATTTAAGGTGAGGTCAGTGAGAATCTTTTTATTATAAGAATTAAGTGTGAAGAATATCTGGTACAAGTTTGTTGATAACATGAGCACAGCAAGCTGTTAGTGCTTTTGATCATGTTTGTAGCATATAATAGACAATATAATGTATAAATAGGCTGTAAAACAACGTTTATTATTTTTCAGAATAGGAATGGTATTGTAATCTGAAACGCACGGTTACGCATCACTGCCCCATGTCTTCATATTGGCTCTCTGTGAACTACTGTAGAACACCGATCGAAAGCTGGTGAAAACAGCATAGTCTCAACTTTGAGGTAATCCTAAACACCCAAAATCTTAATATATATTGTACATGTAGTGGCTGTCATGTTTTGTCGTTTTTACTAGTGAGTGTTCCCAGGCGGTAGAAATGCCATTAAACTGCAAAGTTAAGGATGTAGTAGACTTTCATGGTGTTTATTTTCTTCATTTTTTTCTTTTATCAAACGATGACTTATACCTATTATCATGTTTTTATTTCAAGAAAAAAACGACTTTTTAAAAAATAAAAAAATATTTACAAGTAACGTAAATCCCGGGAATGTGCACTTCGACTAAGCTCCTCTGGGCCTAAACAATAACATTTGTAATTAGCTTAATCCCGCAAATAAACATCGCGGTCAAATGACCGGATACTCTCACTCGTTACTGATAGTTCAACGCATCGCTTTTCTCTACTATATATTACTGTTCATTTATTTTGTATTGACCAAGTTTATTTTGAAAAATGGCACGGGAAAAAAATCGGAAAAAGAGTGTTCCAATGACAAGCGAAACCTGCAAGTTTCTGAATAGCGGAAACCGTATTTTTTACTACGAAACACAATCCATTTACAAAACAAAGTCGGACGAGTCGACAACAGGCAAGTCGAGTGAAACCCAAGTGACATCTGCTCCACCGCACTGGTGACTGAAGACAACACCGTGATGTCAAAAATTAAAAAAAAAAAATATATCGCCAGCGAAATCTGCAGTATCTGGCAACGCTTGCGGTGAAGCGAATAACACGAGGCTCGTCGACCTGGATAAATTGATTTCGAATCTGGCTGACCACTGTAAATGTTCTCGGTGTAAAACTGGAAAAATAAATATCCATAAAGAATCTCGTTATGGCTGGGAATCTCACTTTAGTCTCCGGTGCACATGCGGTCCTTTGAACGTGACACATGCACGCGGATTGGCTAAGAATACGTGGTAGTCAAAAGTAGACTAATCAGGTCCATTGTGTAATGTGGGACGGCAGACTGACTTTCAAATTTGAGTGACGCATCGGTGGTTCGTAGAAAAAGCAGTTACACGTAAATTCTTAGCTCTTGGAAATGAAAACTGTTTTGTGCTGGTAATAATTGTATAACAATCGTACTGCAAGTCGACAAAACTGAACTAAACGTAACTCCGATTGTAACAAGTTATAGAGCAAAAACGAGGACCTGTAATTCACGACAGCGCTGTCGGCAAGCTTGACTGACTTGTTTCCAAGCGGATTCAGTCAGCAAATAGTAGGCACTTTTTTACTTTAATTATGATTATTTAATTGATATTCAACAACAAAAGTTTCATCGCCGGTATTTAGTAAATCGTAGCTTTACGAGTACTCGCATCTCATTATGTAGTTCTGCTCTGATGACGTTTTACGCAAACAGTTCTTGTCCGATTTTATTGATATTTTCAGAGATTGAACACAAGATGAATTGAAATCAAAATCTAAAATATTTTTCAAGTATCAGTAATATTTTATTACTAATTGACCCGTGAAAACAGAACACTCTAATTTATTACAGAATTATTGTTGAGAACATTGCAGTCTTCCTTTTCTCATAAAAATGTGTTGGCTAACTTTTTTCGTTTTCTAGTAGCAGGAAAATAGCAGAAAATCGATTTGGTTTATTTTGTTCACGTGACGTAATTAATTTTGACATTAGTGTTATCATAATTTTTGAACAGAGTGTTGCAAGGGCTACAATAACATGTAAAAATTGTTAGTCATTAATCATTATTATTATTTTTGGAAGCTTTTTTCTGTTTTGACCAACGAAAGTCTACTACATCTTTAAACTGTGATGTCTTCGTGTTTAACATCGTGATCAGCTGGCCATAAAAAATGAACAACTCATTTTAAAAGTAGATAAGGATAATAATGTGTTGTGACTGTGGATGTAATCTGAATGAATGTATTACGCAAGTAATATGGTTTTAATTGAGATTGTGTAGAATACCAATAAGTGGCAATTGCATTGGATGACAGCATGTATTAAATAAATTCTAAATGCATACTTCATGCATTAAATCTACATATTAGTCAGCATTAATATATGATACACGTATATGATAGTAATGATACTTATCGTATTGCGAATATAATCACAGGTCATACTGAAAACTGTCGAATATATTTTAGTTGTATGAATCAATCCAGATACGCTTAAACATTTTTATTATTTTCCATTGTTTATCTCAACGTAAAGAAAACGTTTGTATTAATCATAATAAGTACTTCTGATATTTTATTGTCATTGTATAAACGATTTCACGTTATCAAATTGTGATCAGAATAGAAAGTAATGGGACATCCGTTGGCATTTGTCTCATTTATTAAAAACTTTAATCAAAATATCGAGTTTGACTATGTATCAAGACGATTAGTTTGTTATTCGTATTTATTTTAAACCAACGCCTGATAACTACATAGCTGAAGAGGTGTTACAAATTTACTGCTGTACAAAGGTCTTACACAAGCTGTACACAATCCCGAATACACAAGATCGACAAATTTTAATTCATACAGTGTGAATCACGCAATGCAACGTGACTAGTTCAAATTGTTGCAAATACTGTTATATGGACATCATAATAATATAAATTGCTCGTACAGTCTTGCAGGATCATGTTTGTTATCAATATAATTAGCAACTAAATCAATGTCAATTCATTGTTTTAGTATTACTGTGGATGTATGATAGACATTTCGCATAGACTTCAGATTGCGAGGAAGCGATATGATTCATCTTGGTATATGATATGAATAAATGACATAATTACCTTTTTGACCCAACAATTACTAATTTTATCTATAATTTTGAATATAAATTTCAATTTTACATTAAAATATCGAACGAATATCAAGCGATTTGCAGAATTACGTCATTTGTGTACCCAAATACTGATATAAATTCTGGCTTTAATAAAAACTAATCAGTTATTAATAGTAAAACAGAAACTTTGCTCCCTGAACATTTTTAAAGAGCATTATATATAATGATCTATACTGTCGAATGAAGTGGTCAGTAATCGTACCATTAAGTACGTCTATCAGCTGTTTCCCAGCTACACAGCTCAATACCAGTACGAGGTCATGAACCAGGAAATAAGATACAACAATGCCTGTACTATCGCATACCGCGTCCTGGTTCAGTGTTGTCGTTAATATTTCACTTATTTCCACTGGTAAGTCGTAATATCATTGACTATTAACACAGTTATTATGGATCATACATGGTGACTCGATTACAAACATTTGACTTTGATACAATAACCATGTTA